AAGATCAGTTGGGGCGTCAGATCCACAAGGCGACTAAGTCGAGTATTCAAGCATTCTTGAAGCGGCTTCGTGTTGAGCTGGAGGGGTTCATGCGATTCGAGGCTCACATCGCGGTGCACGCACCACCAAAGAGCAGTACTAACTTTCCGCCGTCATCTACATCGACCGGACCGGAAAAGAAGGGCCCGCGAGGAACTGGAGGAGGTAAGGCCACGTCGAGCGAAGCTAAGCTGGCGACGGTGTCGTACAAAGCGAAGCCTCCAGCGTCATCTAAGACAGAAAAACCAGACAAAAAGTGTTTTAAGTGTGGCGATCCGACCCATGGTGTTTTCCAATGCCCGAACATTGCTAGTCTACTGGAGGCGAAGGAAATATACGAGAAGAGCGCTGAAAAAAAGGCGATGAAGCCCGTTTTGGTAGCCACTTCCGGGGAAACGACGCAGGAGTCGTCTGCATCGATTCCTTGCCTGGTGATGGGAGCTGTGGAGACTTTAATCACTCCCGACAGTGCCTCCGTGTCTCTAGTGACAATGAAATTGATTAACGACTTGAAGTCGGCCGAAGGAGAGGTAGAGATGCAGCCTTTGGCAAAGCCATCAGGCGTGACCGGCGTAAAGGATAAGCCCGTTCCTGTTAGGAGCAAAGTGAAGCTAGATCTGCGTTTTACGACTCCAGGAGGACCCTTGATTTTGAGGAACGTAATCTGTTGGGTCACGGAAGACAGTCTTCCGGCTGGAGTTGGCGATTTATTGCTCTCGCATTACATCATGGAGCGTCTAGGCTACAGCTCGAAAAAATTGATTGCAGCAGCTCAGAGTTTGCAGGAAGTTTGGGATATGGGGGATGTTGAAGACGATTGTGAACTGGGTCTCTCATCGGTTTTTGCGTACTCTGGAGTGCCTTCGGCGATCGAGCCGACAGTAGAGGAAATCCAACTGCACGACGACGAAGACCATGCGTGTTTTCCAAGTTTCGACGGTGCAGCCCGATCGGAACATGATGAAGTGGCTGCGGTTCTGGAAGAGAAGTTGGCGGAAGTTAAAGAAGCGGGAGCGTCCCGCGAGTATGTAGAGCAGCTACGAGTGGTGTTAGTGAAGTTCAAAGACGTGTTCAGACTGCAAATCGGGAGGGATCCCCCCGTTGACATGCCTGCGATGAAAATAACACTGAAACCTGGCGCAGTTCCCGTACGGTGCCGGGCTCGGCGCTACTCACCAGGGCACCGTGAGTTCTTGAAGAAGCATATAAGTGAATTGCTGGAAGCTGGCTTGTGTTACAGGAACTCTCCGAGTAAGCGGTGCTCACCTCCGCACATGGTGCGGAAGCCTGGAGTGGGAAATTTCAGGATGACTGTGGATGTAAAAGTAAAACTAGCAAATGAGAAAGTTGAACAGGTCGTGTGGCCGATGCCGATTCTTGAGGTGGAATTTGATCGCCTACG